TTTAAAAAAAGCCCCAAACAAATCAGACCTTTTAAGATTGGAATGAGTCATGGAAAACTGTTTTCAAATGAGCACAGTCAGTTTTCCTTTGCTGCTCCTCCCTTTCCTTGTCTGCCACTGGCCTCAGTTGGTCTAGAAAGATAAGGGAAATCTTAATTACCTGAAGTTCTCTGTTTGAGGCAGCTCCTCTGCCTAGCGTGTCAGTCTGGTGAGCTTGAGACAATCCAGTCTGCACCACACAAAATTACAGGGAAGCAACTCCCAGAGTGCTGGGAGAGCATCAGTGAAGTGTAAAACCCCTGGGAGGTTGCATTGTCCCCTGTGTGTGGCAGAGCTGGGTGCCAGCAGAGCTCCAGCAGTGCCCCAGGGGGCAGCTCAGCACAGGGGTGTGGATGGGGCACTGTGGCAGCAGGACCTGGGCTGGGGGTCACTGCTGGAGCCTCTTGCACCCAGCTCTGCCACACACACAGAGTGCTCTGGCTTTGTGTAAGTTCTGCATTTTGGGGGGGATGGTTACTAACACCTGTTTCAGCCTGCTCTGACTGAAGCACTTGTAGTTTTTTCCTGAATTGGTTGTGTTTTCTCTGCATTTGTAAATAGTGAAACACACAGGAGATGATCTTACAACTAACAGTGTGTGCTTTGAAGCACTTCTGTGTAGCTCTTTTTCATGAGGACAAGCCCCATTTCTGTCTCCTGTACACAAACGTGTGGGAGACAATAACAGCTTAACAACCTAAAATTAAATTCTGCTGTTTTGCTTTTGCATACTGTCTGTGTCCTCCCTTCCTGTAGGAAATGCACGTGCCTGCTTGGTATTCTTGGTCTTTGGGGAGCAGAGATCTAATGCTTTCATGGAGCACATGACTAATATTCTCTGTACTGGGCTTCCTTCTGTTGTCATGTAGTGGTCCTAATCTCTCACCAAGAGGGTTCATTCTGCTCTAGGCACCTGGTTTTTTTCCCTGTTGAATTTTCTGTGCCAAACCAAAAAGTGTTGTGCTTGTCTCCCCCAGCCCTCCCTGCTGTACAGCGATGCCCTGCCAGCCAGGAGTTACAGGGTTTGTTGTGCTGATGCTCTGAGCACCAACACCAGAGCCACCCACCCCCAGCCATGCACATCCTGTCCCCTGCCTCTGTCTGTCATTCCCCCTTGGCTGCATTTATTTGTCTCACCCCTGCTGTCCCATCCATCTGAATGCCACGTGTGTGATGCTGTTTGTGCACACCTGGGTTTGCTGAGCCTTCCTTTAATTCCTGTTGGGATTGTGCTCATGGGGTTGTGATGCTGCCAGGGAATTGTCTTCCTCGGTGTCTTTCCAGGAGCCAGGACAGAGAGGCAACATCAATTCTTGCTGGCTGCTTAAAAACTAACAAATAGAATTTTTTTTAGACAAATTCCTGCCTTCTTCTTTAAAATGAGCTTCTCAGAATTTTTTCTCAAAGCTTAAAGGTAGAGTTTCGCACTCCCCTTGAGTTTCCTGAACCATATATCTCTATGCTAAACCAGAGTCTGTCTTAAAATATGCATTTTCCTCCTGTTTTATTAATTTACTAAACTGGCTGGTAAGTGAAGCTTATTAGGAGGTAAGTGAAGCTCATCACTGCCAGCACCAGCAATGAAGGTGAAACAGATGGGATCAGTGTAAGAATTGATGTAGCCATTTTATGGGTAGGCAGTGAATTGAGTTAAAATTAAATTGAAGCCCTGGGAGAAGGGTTGGTGTCCCATCTCGGGGTGTGTCAGATCCTGCACGTACGCTCGCCTCGGCTCTTCCCCTGCATGCTGCTTGTGTTGCACCCAGGAGATGGCCCTGTCCTTGCCCCCAGGAGGTGGCCCTGTCCCTGCCCGTGCTGCTGGCTGCCTGTTCTTGTTCTGGGTGAGTTTGTGAGTGTGCAGAGAGGCTGAGCTGCCGTGCTGTGCTGACTCTGTGTTTCATTGTAGGCGTCCGTGTACGACGAGAGCGTTTACAGCGGGAGCCGGCGCTATAGTGCCCCCAGTTCCCGTGCTGTAAGAGCTTTTCTGCTTTTCCCTGCTCTGTCCCTGTCCTCTGCCAGCCTGGGCAACCTTCCACCTGGGCTCTGTGACATCCAGCACCTGCTGCTCTAGGCAGCAGGAGAGGGAGCACCATTCCCACCAGCTTCCACGAAGCAGTGATCAATGGGAGCTCATCTCTCTGTGGGACAGGGAGTCCACTTCTGCCTCACACAGATAAAATACCTAGGAAAGGCCATACATGAAATCCTTTCCCTCCCTGAGACTTAATTCTGCTTGTCAAATACAATTTTGAAAAATAATCAGCCAAATTTAAAAATCAATTCCTCATAAGCAGTGTGAAGTGAATGATTTTTGGGAATACATGGGTGGCTTTGTTTTGTTTCTTGGATTTCCCATGAGCTTCCACGAAGCAGTGATCAATGGGAGCTCATCTCTCTGTGGGACAGGGAGTCCACTTCTGCCTCACACAGATAAAATACCTAGGAAAGGCCATACATGAAATCCTTTCCCTCCCTGAGACTTAATTCTGCTTGTCAAAACTGAGAAAAATACAAGTTTAAAAAATAATCAGCCAAAAATTTAAAAAATCAGTTCCTTATAAGCAGTGTGAAGTGAATGATTTTTGGGAATATATGGGTTGCTTGGTTTTGTTTCTTGCATTTATAGTCAAATATATTTTACATTCATGTATGTGACAGTACTTCCAAAATGTGTGTTCCTGAGAGTGGAGGGCTCTGTCATGGGGATGGGGAGCAACAATGTAAGGAATGACCATATCAATTGTGTATTTTCAAAAAGGAAACTCCAGGAGTTGGTTTACAGATTAAAAGGCACAAAATGCCTTCATATCTCCTCTGTGGGTGTTTGGGGCAGCAGAACCCAACCAACCAAGAGGACCCCAGCAAACAAATAACCACCATCTAAGGCCATAAGAGTGAAAAACCTGGAGACAGAGCAGTGATGTTAACTTTAAACATCACATTTTTATTAGCTTGGAGGAGGAAACACTTTGAAGAATGCTTTCTAAGCACTTGTTAGTCCTTCAAGGGCTGTGCCATCTTCTTGCCAGCCCACTGATTCACATCATTTACAGCCCAAACCTTTCAGCCAAAAACCTGTTTGTGGGTCTTTCAGCGGCTGTCACTGGCATGAGGACTGAAACCCTGGTGCTTTCCCCTCCCTCCATCCCCATCCCACTCTGAGCCACAGGTATTTATTTGTGTGTAACCCAACCTTTCCAGTTCCTGGAGTAATGAGAGAGTTGGGGCAGGAGGGGTTTGCCCCAGAGGCAGTGACCTTGTCACAACACCTGTGACAAGGTGTTTTGTTTTAATGCCTCTGAACCTTGCAGCACTTTTAACCTGGAGTGGGAGTGTCACCTCTGCTGGCTGTTCCCAAAAAATGTTTTTGGAAGGGCAGGTGGATGCAGGGGGTGAGGCTGACAGTGGCCTTGCATGGTCACAGCCACTTCCACAGTCAGCCCTGCAATGCACAGGGAGCAGCTGTGGGATAAATAGGGCCTGGGAACATTAATATGGGACTCAGCAGTAGGTACAACTTTTTCCCTGTCACAAGTTTCAAATTTATTCTAAACCCTTCTTTTGTTAGGCATAAAACACTTCAGTGACCAAACAAAATCTGTGGCTTTACTTCAGTGCTTTTTGCCTTTAATTTAGGAATTATTGTGTGACTGGCAATAGTTGGAAACAGGGTACAGCAGAGTTTTGTACTGTGCATATTCTCACCTCTGAAATGAAGATCAGGTGCACAAAGCCAGTGTAGGACACAGAGTCAACCACAGGACAACCCCAGCTCTGGGGTTGGAAGGGACATTAAAGGCCACCTGGGCAGGGTCACCTTCCACTGTCCAGGGTGCTCCAAGCCCTGTCCAGCACTGACCATTGCAGGGATCCAGGGGCAGCCCCAGCTGCTCTGGACACTGTGCCCAGCCCTCCCTCGGGGTGCCCCGAGGGTACTGTCCAGCCCATGGGCTGTGCACCCTGCACAGGATGTTTTGTGGGCTGACCCTGTGCTTGTGCTCTAGCTGGGGTTATTTCCAGCTTACCCTCTCACCATTCATTAGTGCTGCAAGCTTAATTTGCAGGTGATGCTGTGCGGCTGTGACTAATGGTGATGGAGCAGCCCTGTAGTGGCCTGGCTGTTCCTGTAGTGGCCAGGTGACTTAATTAAAAAAGCCCTGAAAAAACCCACAACATCTCCAAAGTATACTAATTCTTCAGATTTCTGTGTGTTTGTATCTGAGAAATCCTAATCACCTCTGAAATAAGCTCGTTGTTTCCGGGGTAAGTTCTAGTTCTGTTTCCCTGATGCTTTAAACTTTTATTTCCCCGTTCCATGTCCACTGCATTAAAACCTCTGGAAATAAAAGAGCATGGACACATTCTTTGTCCTTGTCAGCAGCCAGCCAGCCCTGTCCTGCCTCTCTGCTCAGATCTTTCCTTTCAAAAAATGCTGCAAGATTTTCTTTGGCAGGAGATGAGGACTGCAGGTGCTGGAAAACCAGGAGAGAGACTCAGTCTCTGAGCTGGGCTCAGCTTTTACTTTAATCCCCACATATATGGTGGATGTTTCTTCCTTTCGCCTGTGGAGCACAAATTCATTTTATATGTGCACAGTGTTGGGAACATGGGAAAATGATTCACCAGAGAGCGTCAGAGCTCTTGGAAAGTAGTAGGATGGAGGCTTTTGTAGAGAAACTGAATTGTTTACTTGTCACTGGTACCTGAAGAGATATAAATAAATGATTAGTATTCTAAGAATTGAGTCAAATCTCTACTTGAACTGCCAGTGGAATTACTGCTTGCCTTAATTTTCAAATTAACAATTCTCTGTTTTTCACTGCTGTTCCTTTGTCCAGCTGCATGTAACCATCTCTTGGAGTAATTTCAGATGTGATGCTCTACATCCTCTCCTGCTTCCCTTGCCAGTTCTAATGGCTTTCTCTTTTCTCTGCCTGCTGTTCCTGGATTTCCTGCTGCAGCCTTCTGAGTACAGCTGCTACCTTGGGTCGGGATCTCGGGCATCCTCCAGAGCCAGCTCTGCTCGGGCCAGTCCAGTGGTGAGCTCCTCTATTTCTCTTTGCCCCTCAACTGTTTCATTCCTCTCTCCTTCAAGGCCTTTTTTTGTGCAGAGAGGTCACTGTCTCTGAGTAATTCTTAAGGGATGTATTATTTGCTTAAAAGTGCTGTCACACTTCTCCTGTAATCTGCCTAAATATTTGGAACCTCAGAGTGAAAAATTCTCTTGTAGTAGCAATGGCAGCAGCACAGAAATTTCAGCTATAAAATTCTATTTGCAACCTGGTAGTCCATAAAACAGTAGGAAGATTTTTTTAGTAATTCAGGTACATCTAGCTCAGACATTTCCCTTAATGGCACTGTTAAATAGTAATCACTAGTCAGTCATCTGAGCATGAATCCTCTAAATGTCAGTGCTTGTATCCCTGGATTTATAAATGCAGTGATGAAGAAAATTAGTTAAAGGAGTTTCTGTGAGTTTCTTAGGGTATTAATTGGACCTTCTGGGCAGTGCTTAAGACAAAGAAACAAGAGGAGGAATTGCAAAACTGAAGTGATTTCTATGCAGATGTATGTTAAGACAAAGAAACCAGAGGAGGAATTGCAAAACTGAAGTGATTTCTATGCAGATGAATGTTTGGACTCTCATGTACTTTGGACTCTTATGACAATGCTGTGTTTGCTTTAAATGGAGAAAAAAGCACAGCAAGGTTATTGTGGAAAAGACTGGGATGTTGATGGAAGTGCTTTTGGGGGAGCAGGAAACCCTAAATCTCCTGCAGCATTCAAGCAGTTCAGTTTCTGTCCAGTGAGCAGTATTTTGGTGCAGAGCTGCAGGGCTCTCCAGAGGTTGGTTTTGATCATCTTTGTGGGATTGCAGAGTGCCAGGCACTGCAGTCTTTAGCAGGGTGAAGTGCTAGAGGGATGAGGAGCACCAGCACAAGCTGTGGCTGAGCAATGCTCAAGTGCTAATGATGCCTCAGGTTTGAGCTTTTATATTTTTTAGATCCTGTGCTGCTTTAGTGTGTGGGTCTGGGCTTCATATCAGGGGGTGGTGAGCTCTCTGCACAGAGCAGGGAGACAAAACAATTCTTGCTGTAGCTGGGGACCAAGGACAAATGATCCAAATCTCAGGCCCCAGAGCACAAACAATGTGGGCTGGAGAGAGAAAAACAAGAAGGATGGGACTTCATAGGCTAAAGCTGTAATTGGACAATTAACTCCAATATGCAAATGGTCCAGAACTTACAAAAGTGAGAGACTCTGTGACCAGTTGTCCATTTTGTGACCATTTTGGTCCATCTTGGGTGCAGCCCTGGCTGGGCTCTTGTGCTGCCCAAGGTGCATCCATTGAGGCCTTTTAATAAATCTCTACTTTATTCTTTAACTCTGCCCAGCTTCTGTTCCAGGTCAGCCTTCACAAGGCATCACTAAAGGCTTGGCCATCCCCTGCTTTTAGGGAGTTTCTGTCTTTAATTTTTTAATTTTTTCATGCCACATTGTGCTTTCTCTCTGTGGCTGTTGGTCTCTGTGGCTGTTTCCAGCTCTGGGTATCTTTCTGATTTATTTCCAAGCATGGGGACAGCTGCTGAGTGCAGTTGGATGTCTGGTAGAGGAAACATGCAGCTTACAATAAACTAAAATATAACAACATTAATTTGCCTCAGAGAGTGAATTTTGGAGTCTGCCATTTGAAAACTGATACAACAGAGCTGTGTGCTCTGAAGTTTTGGTGTTCTAAGGGTACATTCACTTTTTAAAATTGTTAAAAAACAGAGGGGTTTTCATCAGATAATGTATGGCAGCCGGTGAGCTATAAATAAATCAGTGTTTTAATTAGCCCCTGAACCTGAGTCCCTGAGCTATGAGTTCTTGCAGAATATAACTTATATTAGTAATACATCTTAAATGGCTTTGCAAACTGAATTTCAATTACCCCCAAAGCAAGAACTAACCAGAATAAACCAGGATTCCATTACAGCTCTGTAAGGGCAATAAGAACTGGGTACCCACACAGTGCAGTTGGTGTTTTCTGTGTGTCAGCTGAGTCACTCCTGCAAGTTCCTCAGAGGAATCACAGGATGCTGGGAGGTGCAAGGGAGGTTTTGGGTTTTAAATTCCCTGCTTACACTTTGGCCCCGTGGTATGCAAGTGGCTGGAGGTGCTGTGCTGAGTCAGCACCAAGCTGAATCTGCTCTGCAGGGAGACAGCAGGCACTCCTTAAATTACCTTTTTTTGGTTTAATTAGTGGTTTATTGCCTGCTGTGAAGAGCTTCCCTTATCTCTGTCACCTTGAAGAAGAGCAGAGTTAATGTCATAGTGAGTCCGGCTGATCCTAAAAGTTCTCATTGCTACACAGGGTCAATCCAGCAGCACTTTGTGATTACAATATTTTTTCCCTGCATTAAACAGATACTGCTTTTCCTGTAGCTCAGGGGAGGAATCACTTTTGCTGACAAGCTTCAAAGTGTTCTTGTAGAGTTTTCAGTCAGGTACTTGAGAGTGGAGAATGATTCCATGGAACTTTATAAATTAAAGCATACAACAGCTTGTCACTGCAGCTCTGAAATTTTTTACTCAGAGTTTTGTTTCCCCCTCCTGTAACTGTTCACTGAGCAGTGAGCAAAAAGCAGTAGTAGTTTTCCTGCAGTGGTTTTCCTGCTGTGCACAGCTTTGCTAGCTGGTTTTCTCATTTCTGTTACCATGTTGGTGATACAGTCAAAGGCAGGAAGATACTTCAACACAATGTGTGAATATTTGGCTTTGTAGTTATTTTAAGAATTCACTATATCTGAAAGAAGTTTGCTGTTTGTTTATTTTTCTTTTAACATTTTTCATGTTATCCCACTGGTAATTATCTGCTGTCCTTGCAGTTACTGCAGATATGCAAATATGTTGTTTAATATTAAACCATCCTCACAGAAAGTACAGATCTTAACACTACTGAGAGCAAACATCAGATATTTCTGTACAGATGGGCCTGAGCTCTCAGCATGTTTTGGCAGAGCTGGACTTTTGATATAAATTGCAGGAGTTTTGTTATTTTTCTTTTCTAAATCAAGAAGCTACTAGTGAAAAGCAATTATTTCTAAATCTGGAACAGGCTCAGTAGTATTTGTCTGAAGGCTCTCTAAGGCAAAGCAGGTGAAACAAGAGGAGAGGGCTGTGCTGAGATGATGATGATGGTTCATCCTGGCTTGTGGAGGCTCAGGCAGCAGCACAAGCAGTGAGAGTTCAGCCTGAGCACACACAGAGCTGTAGAATATCCTGAGCTGGAAGGGACCCACAGGGACCATCAATCCAAACCCTGGCCCTGCACAGACTCCCCAACAATCCCACCCTGTGCACCCCTGGGAGTGCTGTCCACTGGCAGCCTGGGGCTCTGCCCATTCCCTGGGGAGCCTGGGCAGTGCCCAGCACCCTCTGGGGGAAGAACCTTTTCCTAAAATCCAGCCTAAACATCCCCTGACACAGCTCCAGCCATTCCCTGGATCCAGAGGCATTGCAGGGAGCAGAGGTTGGAGCTGCCCCAGGGATGGAAGGTGCCAGCCATGCTGAGCTCTGCCCTCAGTCTCCTCTGCTCCAGCTGAACAATCCAAGTGCCCTCAGCTGCTCCTTGTACAGCCCCTGCAGCCCCTTCCCTATCTTCTCTCCCTCCTTTGGAGGCTCTCTAACAGCTTTAGATCTTATCTAAAGCTGCCCCCAGCACTGGAGGTGAGGCCCAGAGCAGACAGGACCTGGCCTGGCTGGCACTGCTGGGGCGATCCCCCAGGACAGGGATGTCCCTGCTGGCTCCAGGCACTGCTGGCTCAGATCCAACTGGCCATCGACCAGCACTTCCAGATCCCTGCTGCTCTCTCACTCCCCAGGGTGTCCCTGCCTCCAGGGGACACCTCAGTGCCCAGCTGTGAACACCTTTGCTCTCTGGAAGAGACTTAGAGAAAGAAATGAAGGCACTGACAGATTTAATTATGGTGGAGACACTTAGGAAGCTTTGCCTTCTCTCTGGATAGGGTAGGTTGTATCCTAGCCCTCCCTCTGACAGTCTGGATGTGCTTTGGGATCCTTTGGTTACGGTAGGTTGTATCCTAGCCCCTCCCTCTGACAGTCTGGATGTGCTTTGGGATCCTTTGGATAGGGTAGGTTGTATCCTAGCCCTGCCTCTGACAGTCTGAACGTGCTTTGGGCCCCTCTGGAGTGAGGATTTGCTGCAGTGCTAACTTGCATTTCTGGCACTGATAAGTTTGTTTAGGCAGTGATGTTTGGCATAGCACTCATTCCTGAGAGAGGATTCTTCTCACAAACTCTCCTCAGACCTGACAGATTTCAGCAGTGGTTTTGCTGAATTCTTGCTAATTGCTGGAGTTCAGGTGGTTCTCAGAGAAGCAGCAGGAACTCAGTTACTGCCTGGCCCAGCCCAGCTGATCAGACTGGTAAGATGGGGGTTCTTGGAGGGGTTGTACTCACTGCAGTACCTCTTTCCTTCTTCTTAATTCCAGGTTTTGTAGATACCATCCTGTGTTAAGCACTAGCCTAACAACTTTTCTCTGCTGTGGGCTATATTTCAATTTCAAGCTGTGCTGTGCTACTTTAAGGGCAGGAAATGATCTTAATTTGATTTGTCACCAAAAATCCCCTTTGCTTTCATGGGGAAATTGAGTTAAGTGCAAGATGTGAGCTGGAGCTGAGCAGGGACAGCCACATACTGAACACTGAAGCTGTTCTGATACCTGAGCATGGGACATGGCACAGGCAGAAGAATTCCAGCCTTCCCTTCCCTGATTGTTCAGGAGCCTGGAAGCTGGAAACTGCCTCAGTCCTGGCCTTTCACTGATTTCAAGATCCCTGTACTTGCAGTAGGTGTTTGGTTGGATGCTCTGTGCTGGTGCTGCAGGAACTCATTTTGGACACTCCACTGGTGGCAAAGAGCTTCACCCTAAAAGGGTTTAACCCTTTTAATCCATGGAAAACAGGCATTTTGGCCATATAAAGGCTTGTGGGGTGATCTTGCTCGTGTTATGTTTCCAGCTGTGGTGAGCTCTGATATTGCTGACATTTTTGTAATGTGGCTGTGGATTTATTCTGAAATTGCTGTCAGGAGAGGCTGAACTCTGGTCCCACTGCACTTACTTTGCAGAGAGCAGCCAAAACAAAGATATGCATGCTGGAGTTCCTCAGAAAATTACTTCCTTTTCCTGCTTTTTTATGCACTGAAGTACAAATTGCCCCAGTTGTTGGTGGAGGGGAAGATAACCTGTGATTAGAGACAGACCCATGTGCAAATGAGAAATGGTAGTGTTGTGTCAATTAAAGGTAAATGAAGTGAATCCCTCTTTAAATCTCCTTTTCTGGCAAGTATTCTGTCAATCCTTTATGTTTGTGTGTGGAAAAGTCCCAAAGCCAGGATATTTTTATGAAGGGCTGTGCTGAGTGCATGTGAAGGTGGAGGAGTTCTTCTCAGCCTATTTAACAATTGCAGTGTTCTTGATTGAATGCTAATGCAGAAGCCAAGTGTTTGGGGCAAGAATTCTGTACAACTTCAAATAAACATAAACATTTCTCTCCTGACCTTTCTCTGTTTTATTTATTGCTGAATCAACTGCCAGAGGGCTTGGGAGGGACTGGGGGAAAGCTGGAAACCTGGAGGTCCCTCTGGTGGCTGATTCCTTTAGGAAACATTTATCTTTTTAAAGGGTACTGTGAATACATTAATCTAAACATGAGCACGATGAAAGCTGTATAAAATATTCATCTAAAGTAGGTTTCTCTCTTTCTACAAGACAGATTTTGGTGTATCACTGCCCTGTAACCATAAAATTAAATGCTCCTTGTTTCGGCCTGGCTTTTTGCTTAGAAAAGTGTCATGTAGCGGGAGGCATCTGTGTAATGTAAGGATGTTATTTTGGTGTGAAGAACTGGCTTTTCTCGAAATTGATTGGGTTTTAAAGTGTTAATATTTAAATGAATTATTAGGGATGGTTGCTGGTTATGAGGAGAAACTGCTTTGAGTATGGCATTCATGGCACTGAGTGGATGAAAAATGAAGATGAAATCTGGTTTGTCTCCTTAACCAGCTCAATTTTAGATGTTACTTAATAGCTTTCATGAATAGAGATTATGCCCCATCAGAGTCACTATTTAAGATAGTTTTGCAATAAAGGTGTAGCAGGCTTCACAGGTGTGGTTAGGAGTGCTCTGGGTAGAAACACTCACTGCAGTCATGTCTCTCACCACTTCAACATTCTTCAACATTGTCTTCAACATTCCCCTTTGTAAATGCAAGCTTCTGTTTGACTCATGTGATGAGTCAATTTTATTTTATTTTATTTTATTTTATTTTATTTTATTTTATTTTATTTTATTTTATTTTATTTTATTTTATTTTATTTTATTTTATTTTATTTTTATTCATGTGATGCATCATTAAAACAATATCAATATTTGCTTCCATCTTTATTTTGCTCAAACCTGAGATTTTACTTTGTTCCAGAAAGTAGAGACCATTGTGCAAATGGCTGAAGGAACATAAATATTTTGAGCTGTGCCCTGTAGGACAGATTTTGCAAAGGCTGTACGCAGATTTCCAGAGGTACATGTGTGTGGATACACAAATCTTTTGTCACATGCCTTTATTGACACTGCCACAGCTGTCTTGATAAACAACAACACCACAGTGTTTGGCCAGGCTAGAAGGCTGCCAAATCCAGCACTTGGAGCTGTCAGGCATGAAAATAAAAAGCTGTTAGCACAATTCAGTCCATCTTGTTCTTGGTCTGAGCTAAATTGTCTGCCTTCATTAATGACCCTCTCTTATTGCCTCCAAATTCAGAGATTTGAGGGGGTTTTCCCTAAAGATTTTATGTATTCAGTGTCTTTGCAAGTTTAGATCTAGTGCTTTAAGTCTGGCTTATTTTACTTTGAAGCCTCAGCCTTAAGTTTTCTGAATTCAAATTTATAGAGAATTTTAGCTGTGAGATGTCAATGTAAAAGGCTGATTTGTAACAGGTACCTCACATTTCTGAGATTTTTTTTTAATAGGGTAACATAGGTAATATGAAGAAAAATTAGTGAGATTATCCCCATATTGTTCTATGTAATAAAAGGAAAAAAAGCTCCAAACAACTGTGCCAAATGTGGACTGATTAGGAAGAGATGTAGGTTTTGAGTGTGTTTTCAATGGAAATTATCAACTTAACCTCAGTTATGCCCTGCCTTCCCCTGAATCAGCTCTGTCCTGATTGTTTTTCCAGCAGTTTCAAAAGCACAATTCCCTTTGGCAATTAGGCTCTTCTTGCTCTGGGGAAGACATTAATTTTTCTGGGAGTCTTTTGGGAAACCAGCTTGACTGTGCTGAATGTCCCAAGAAGAATTCAGGTTTTGTTGAGTTCTGCTGAGTTTTTAGTTTCATTCAGTCCTTTTTACACTTAGTTCCATCTTAGATGGAGATGTTCTGTAACTTTTAAACCCTTCAGCTGTCTGCATCCGTGGTGATTTTCTGTCCCCCTAAATGCTGCTTTCTCACTGTTTGGGTTCTTCTAGACTAGTTTTGGTACAGGAATCTCTCTTTAAATTAGCAAATTGCAGTGAAATACTGAAACCCTTAAAAAGCCATTTATTTAGACTTTGGATTGATCTCTGATTTTTGATTTGGGGGTCAGTTTTGTAGTCTAGGATCTTTGCTTGAAGTTGCAGTCCCTGCTTGTCTGGAAAGGGGATTATTAACCACAGGTTTGAAGCTTTAGATTGCAAGTCTAACTTGGTACCTTGTGCTTTTTGGGATGGGGAGGATGTGGTGGCATTTCTGGTGCATTACTGCTTTCTCTTTCCCTTTATTGATTCTATTAATGATTCCTTCTCAACCTCTCTTTTACAGATTGAGGAAAGGCCAGAAAAAGACTTTGAGAAGGTAAGAAGGATCTTATCAATTATTCTGACAATAGTGCTTTGTTCATTCTTTTCCATGGGTACAGCTTGCCATGAGTGCACAGAAATCTCCTATAAAACCCATTGTGAGGCAAAAATTGGAATTTCTGGAGCCTTCTGCTGCAGCATTTCTGAAGATGAACTTTTCAGCCCCTGCTTACTCAATGTTAAGTAGCTGACCTTCAACAGCAGTTGGCTGAAACTGCTTGAGGCTAAGCCACACAAACACTGTGTGTGTTTATTAGATCTTAATTATGAGACCTAAGTTATTTATGTAAAAATAAATAAATCATCATAATAAAAGAGGAGGCTGCTACATTAACCCTGAGTACAGTCAAACACTTCATGTGGCCACTGCTGTGGAGTAAATAAATATCCATGAAGGAGAGGAGCTTCCAAAGCTTCCCCAGAATGTATTTTTACAATTTTTGAACATGTGTGGCAGGCTGATACTTGCCCCTAAAGATTTTCTCCAATTAAGAATTAACATTTAGAAGCTAAATTATGCAAACTCCTATTGCAGTATTATTTAAATACTTCTGATCTGCCTTTTCTCATTAGTTTCCCTTGGTAAATCTTGATTTTGATTTTTTACTTCTTGGAAAGTTTGATTTTAATCACAAGCACATCATTTAGAAGTGCAAGGATTGGTGTAATGTGTGTATTTAAAAAAAAAAAAGAAGAGGGGAAAGCTACAAAGCCATAATTTATGTGGAAAAGAAAGCTCTGAGCAGTTTATCTGTGTGTGATTGTAGGGAGCACGAACTGTCTCAAGTTTATCAGCAGCTACCTTGGCCTCCCTGGGAGGGACTTCTTCACGGAGAGGCAGTGGGGACACGTCCATCTCAGCTGACACAGAGGCTTCCATCAGGGAAATCAAGGTGAGGAATGCTTAACCCAGAAGAAATCAGGGAATATCCTTCAGGGGCAGGGAATGGGGTGCTGGAAGGAGAAGCCTTGCTGGAAATGTGTCTCAGATGGGACCTCCCAGCCTGGAGCAGGGAATAGGAGGAGGGTGGAGATAACACAGAGGGGAGAGCCTGGCACAGAGGGTGATCATCACTGAAAGGGACAGAGGAGGGCTGGGATTACTGGAGCCTTTGAACCTGGGTCTGCTCCTTGTCCTTAACGCTGAAGATTTCATTTTTTCCAGAAAAAAAAAAAAATCAGAATTAGCCCAAACCCCTGACCACAAAATCTGGTAGTGTGGCAAGGCCTCAGCTTAGGGTCAGAGCCCTTGAGGAGGGTGGGAGAGGTGTTGGGAGCAGCACCTTGAGCCCTGCTGGTCCCTCCCAGCTGCACTCTGCCCTTAGTGCTGTCACTGATCTTTCTCACCTCCCTCAGGACATCTATGAGTTAAAGGACCAGATTCAGGATGTAGAAGGCAAATACATGCAGGGGCTGAAAGAATTGAAGGTACTGGTGTGTGAGCATTAACCCAGTGTGAGCCCAGAGCTGCCCCTGCATGCTGTTCTCCTAGGAACTGGGTGCAGTGTCTCATTAACTAGCAAACTTGTCTGACTGGGGGGGTTGTGGTGGGAAATGCTTCCAAGTGCTCCCTGAAAGGCTGCTGGTTGCCACTGCACGTTGTCTTTGCTGGTTTGCATTTTTTTCCTAGCAAATTAAAATTATTTGGGTTTTTTTTATACAGTTTCCTAGTCCAGGAAACCTTCCAGTGTTGGGAGATGAACTAGAACGCATCTCCTACAGTACTAACAACAAATAGGAGTTTAGAACCTTGTCTGTTTTTATTTTTATAAGGCAGTGTGAGGTGTCATTTTGGTTTCCCCTTAAACAGTTCTTGCAACAAAACTCCATTTATCAAAGCCTGTCACATGGAGAAGGAATGCTGAAGCTGTTACTGCTTCCATGAAGCCTTAAATACATTTTGTATAAACTAAATGTGTTTTGTTTATGAATACAACATAAATACAACAACCAGCTTGTACATCCATGTACCACCCACCTCCTAAGTGAGCAGTGACATGAGCTGTGGCTTTTTGGAAAAGGCAAATGGATAAATTCAACATTTGCCAGCATTAATTGTTGATTGTGCCATCAACTCAGTGCTGACAGATGAAGGTGTTGCCATTTTAATTGAGTTTTCAGTGGAAACAGAGTAGTTAGGCCCTTTTTTGGTTAAATTTTTGTTTTCTTTGTGGTCATTGAGTAGCAGATAGAGCAAAATAACCACAGTGCATAAAAATATTTCAATCCATGTCCCTTAGACTGCCTTTGGGGTGATTTGGACCTAAGCTGCACTGTTTGAACTAAGACACCAAAACATGGCATGCTGGAGGAGTGGAGCAGAACTTCCTTAACTTCTTCCTTGCATATACTTCCTTTCCAGCTCCTTTCTGAGCTTTCCAAATCCTGGTGCCTTTCCTGTGCTTGGCATTTCTCATCTGGAGCTGAAAAGTGCCCCAAAACACAGTTAAGCATTTGGAACTAGACAAATTTGTGTCCTAAAAGAGAAAATATCTGAAGCAATGTCAATTAAACTGATTTAGACTTTGCCACTGTCATCCTTAGTTATATTATCAGCTGGAAAAGGAAGTATATGAAACTCATCCATACTTGAGTTGAAATAATTAAAATTATACAAGTTCCAAGGGAAATTGTTTGATCTGTAAACTAAAATATTGACACGTGTGTCCTCCTTGTTTGCACATTTACACTCCTTTGTTTATATAACTCTTTGTTTATATAACTCTTTTATTTCTTTATGAAAATCAAGTAGTGCAAAGTTTGCATAAATGAAAAATTATGCTAATCTTTCTTTTACCATCATTTGTTGTTATAAATGTCTCAGTATCTTATATTCAGGTCAAGCTGACAGAAGGGGTTTTCAGGATACTGGGAATTGTATCTTAGAGAGTAAATTTGTAAAGAAGGGATGTGATATGGGAAATCACACATCAGGTCACAAAAGCTGCAGCTTTCTCTGCCACAGTGAATCCTGAGTCAGTATTTAAGGGTTCCCACACTGCAAGGATCTCTGAAATTACTGTGGCTGTAAAGCTGCCTGAATTTCAGGCTCAGATCATCCAAAGTGATTTTAATCAAGGCCAGTTCACCTTTAAAAATAAAAAAAATCCCAACTTGCCATCTTGAGCAGCAGCTTTGAGCTGCCAATGTGCAGGGGCAGGGGGAGGAGGGAGAAGGAGGGAGAGCAGGAAGGCAGGAGCTGCAGCAGCAGAGCTCAGGAAGCGTTGGATCCGTGCTGAGGTAAGGCTGCCTGCTTGGCAGCACAAGCCTGCTGGGGACAGGGCAGGTTTTCCTCACCTTGGGGAGCCTCCAGCACAGGATTTGTGCTGCTTTCCTAGGCAAACTTTGGTGATTTATTTCCTCACTGAAGATCTTGGTTGGCAAAGTGTCCTCCTGTATTTCTGACTCTGACCGAGTTGCTTATTCTCTGCAGGACTCTCTGGCTGAAGTTGAGGAGAAGTACAAGAAGGCTATGGTGTCAAATGCTCAGCTGGACAATGAGAAAACCAATTTCATGTACCAAGTGGACACCCTGAAGGATGCACTCTTAGAGTTAGAGGAGCAGCTGGCAGAATCCAGGAGGCAATATGAAGAGAAAAGTAAAGTATGTAAAGAGCTCTGGCATGGGGAAAAAACAGGGAGAGCTTTGGAGGGGGGTAGAGATCTTTGGGAGGAGGCAGCTAAATTATTATTCAATATTTTGAATTACTGATTTAATTAGTATTAACTGAAATACCAATTTGTTGTGTACTTGTGATCATACAAATGAGAATTTTCCCTAAGCCATTTCTGAAGAAGGGGAGAAGTGTTCTGGCTGGTAAAGGATACATTGATATTATCACATCTCCTTTTATATTTCATCTCTAAAGTAAATTCCTAGGGTTTGTCCATAGGGATTTCTGGAGCACTTTGACATGCAAAGGTGTCTCCAGGCAGCCTGTGGGAGAGTTGTGCAGTTCAGGCAGCTCCGTGGTTAAATGTTGAATTAAGTTTTACATTAATTCAGCAGCTGACAGTGATTTGGTGTTAAATAATAAAACTGGGGCTTGTGTTTTCAGAACTGCTTCTTGTAGCTTGGGGCATTTGACTACACCCCACTTCAAAACACAGTTCCTGAAAGATACTGTGGTTTTTTTTTTTTTTCTTTTTATTTAAAAGTCCAGCTAACTTTCAGTACATGGCCATGTGGGAAGAGTGGGTTAAATTCCCATCCATTCATCTGTGCAGACTGAAGGACTGGAGTGTAAAAGCTCTTCAGCCTGCTGCTCAGCTTATGAAATGGGCTAAATGATGTCTGCCACTTCTATATTTGGTGCAATAATAGCATCTTGGAAAAAGGACAAACTTGTTAAAAATTGCACTCTTGTGGGATTGTGATTAGAGGGATATTCATGAATTACGTGGCAGTAAGCATTTTCTTTGTGTTTGGGCTTATTTTCCTCTTTTTGATGGGATGCTATTTTTGATTAATATTAATCTTGTGAATATTTCATTATTCACAGGAATTTGAGAGGGAGAAGCATGCTCATAGCATATTGCAGTTTCAGTTCATGGAAATCAAAGAGGCTTTGAAGCAGAGAGAAGAAATGCTTGCAGTAAGTAACTGGTTTTTTCTTTTAATGGCTTCTTTGATTGGTACATTCCCAAGCAGCAGTAGAGTGGAGAATGTGAGGCATGGAGAATTTTATTCCCTATTCAAGTTTCTCACCAGAAGAAATATTAGTGTTTCAGACCAAATAGGTTCAGAGCTGACTAATGCCAATAGTACTTTCCTAAGTATTACCTTATTCTTCCTAAATATTGCATTTTGGACAGCTGTTTATGGAAAACAGAACTTTGTAACTTGTTTTAAGTCATGTTGTGGATAACATGATTGTCTTCAGGAGCACAGGTTCAGTTGGGATGTCAGGAACTGTGCATTGGAGTTACTCATTTACTTTAGCACCTGACTTTTTTCATTCTTTGGCATCACTGCAATCTTGGCCTTCCTTGTTAACCTGTTACCTGCTTTCTGTCTTCTTGTTTTGCTCCTGCCCCTCAGGAAATCCAACAGCTGCAACAGAAACAGCAGAGCTATGTCAGGGAAATTTCTGATCTTCAGGAGACAATAGAGTGGAAAGACAAAAAAATAGGGGTAGGACTTGTCAACTCCTGCAATGTGTTCAAAGTGACACTGATCCTGCTTTTGTAAAACCCCTCTGTAGTGCCTTTGCTTGCTGTGGCTGTCCTATGATGTTGCCAGTGAAGTAGCAAATAGCAAGTGTTGTCTTTGGCCAGTAGTACCTTAAAATCCAAGGAAAACCTAGCAGCTGCTCTGCTTTCAAACCAAGGGCAATTGATTTGCTGTGCTGCACCATTTGCATTTGCCATATGGGGAAAGGAAGTGCTATTTATAATGCAATTCCATCAGCACTGAGTTTTCTCTTATTCAGATTCAATCTGCAGACTGAGCAGAAACTGGAGTGGGATAAAGAGGTAATGGAGCTATTTATAGGATGTTGGGATGAAAGTCTCCCTTGCTTCTCATCCCTTTCCACCACCTCTTATCAAAGCCACATGGAAAGCCACTCTGGTTTTCTTTTCCAGCTGAACACTGAAAGGCTTCCTGAAGAAAGTAGGAGAAAGAAATCTGGCAGCTTGCCCATGTTTGTGATGTCCAATAATTTGTAGCAGCTTGAAACTGAAAATTGTCTAATTTATTTTTAATTGTTCTATATAGAAATACTGGGAGGGGGGAGTTCAGTAGCAAAATATGCATTTGTACATGGTGCATCCCAGACTAAGGATGACTTAATGACAGCTTTCAAATTAATTAAAATGTAAAATAAAAAGACTCCTGAAATCCAGTGGGCCTACTTCCATGCCCTTCCATTAACACATGGGAATGACATGGAGTCTTCACTGTGCATGCTAAAGCAATGTGGGTTTGGAACAGCTTGTCTAGCAGATAAGAATAAAAAGTGGACCCTCATTTGAAGGATCCCCAGTGAAGAATTGGGCTCTGAATGTCTTTGGCAGGAATTCTTGGTTACTCAGGAAGCTTTCTTGGATTTGAGGTTTCTCCCTCTGTATGCAAACTCAGTCCTATAATCTGTAAACTCAACCTTTTTCATCTGTGCTCCTTCCATCCCCTGAACATCTTAAATCTGCTCATTCTTGTCTACATTTGCTTTTCATGGCCTTTACTTGTCTCCCTTCCTTTCTTCACATCTCCTCTGTCTGTGTTGGGAACTCAGGCACTAGAGAGGCAGAAAGATTTCTTTGATTCCATAAGGAGTGAGCGGGATGACCTTAGAGACGAAGTGCTTGTGCTGAAGGAGCAACTGAAGGTATGCAAGAGGAATAAAATAAATTTATGTTCATCTGCTGACCCTTTTCCCCTGTACGTTTGGGCAGAAATATTAGGTCTGGCTCAGTAGCAGTAACTCAATTTTCATGTTGCCTATAAATTGCCATTTCAGGGATTTTTTTGTATGAATTCCTTTCCCCTGCTATTGATTGTGAGTTCTAGGTGTAGAATGGAGTATAAAGAAGTTGTTTTTGTAGGAGACACTTTTCTGAGGAACATCTTATGCAGCAGATTTATGTTTAAAAAAAATAAAAGAGCTGGGATCACATGCTTTCTGTCAGAATGGCTGAACTGAGAACTGCAATATCTGTTCTCCTTCCTGACTCCCAGCCACGTTTAATGGAATGATTGAAGCAATTGTTTATTCAGAGTATCTTGGACAAGAGCACTTGACAGTCCTTCCCTTTCTGAGCAGCAGGCTCTAAAGCATTGCTTTTGCTTCCCACAGAAACATGGAATAATCCCAGACTCTGATGTAGCCACCAACGGGGACACATCAGACATTCTGGATAACGAAGGACACTTGGATTCTCCCCGAACTGCCCCAGGCACCACTCAGGCATTAAAGACAGGAGGGGAGGGGATGCTAGGTAAGTGCTGTGTGTCCTCTCAGCCCCTCCTGCCTGTCTGTCCTTCATTCATCCACCTCTGCTTGGACGGGGCAGTTGTTAGTGGGACAATTAACAGCACGCAGCATGCTCCTTGTCCAGTCACTCCCTGTGCATTTCCCTGCTTCCTGTTGATTATCACTCCCAGTGTGTCCTGCAGCCTCCTCCAGCAGCAGACTTCACCTCCCCTGCAAGGTGACACAGGATGGGAATGCAAATAGGACATTACAGATAAGTAGCAGTCGTTCACATTGCCATTTAAACTCTGAATTGGAAAATTGTCCCAGGATAATCCTACTGCTGCTCAGTGTTTTTCAGCACATACCTTAAATATTCAGGGAAAAAAGGCATTTTAGTTTTCTATCAAGAGCTTGTATGTTGGTTCATTGATATCCCTGAGAACTGTGTCTGCTTGAACAACAGTGCTGGGCTCTGCCAAAGCACACCAAAGGATAAATTCTTTGTTCCTGTGCTATTGACCACTTAAAATTAACACTTCTGTGTTTTTACTTGTTACATTGACACTAAAATTCAAAGGATGTGATTGAAGTGGACAGTGTTAGGAAGGAGAAATCTGGTTGGCAAAACCTCTTTATGCTTTTATGTGTTGAACTTATTAGAGAATTATTGTACTAGTGTAAGGAAATAAAGTAATATTTTTGCTTTGTTGGATTTTTTTTTTTTGTTCTAAATGAACATCGTAATAAATAGCTGCAGGCAGCCAGTTGTTGCAAGTGCAGGTTCTCTTTCTTTGAGCTTTTGGCTGCTTTTTCCTCACTCAGTTTCTGTGTGGAAACAATGTGGAACACCAAAAATCAAGGTAAGGGTGTATATTTAAATGTAATATGTTTTCTACATCTCCTAATCCTGGGGTTTCTTTTTTCAGAATAGGTACAGCATAGACTCAAAAACTAACAACACTATTGTTTTAATATCTGTTGCTTTTAAATATAAACTGAAGGAAAAATGTTACAACAAAAATAACCTTCAAAAACCCACAGAAGTCCCCACCCCTTTGGGTGGGTGAAATAAGGGGCACAGATTACCTGAGCTTTGATCTGTGTTGGGAGGTCTGAACAGCCAAATTATTCCCTTGCCAATCAGATTTTACATTCAGTGTCTGTCATCAGGCACTGATGATGCCTGTCTTGAGATTTGGAAAGCAAAATATTACTGAATAGTCCTTCATGATCCCATTGTAATGGCATCAGACTCCTGCACGGATAGAGGGGTGTCAGGGTTAAAGTTGGCAGAGAAAATTGCTGAGGAAGAGCAGTCCTTAGAGGTACATCTGCAGGTATTGCTGTTAAATCACACTGCTTCAGCCAGCTGATCTCCTCTACCAGAGCTGTCATTCCCACAGCCAGGGGCAAAAATCTCCTCCCTTACAAAAACATGAGCCAGCACCTGAGACTTCTTGCTTTGAGAGGGTGGTGGTGAGTTTCACTGATCAAACCCCCTGGATCCTTACTAATTCAATTGCTGCTTTGCCTCACAAAATTGGCAAAAGCTGATCTTTTATTAACCTGCTCTTCTCATTCTGTCTTTTGGGTTTTGAGTGGGGAGGTAAGTGCTGTGGTGTGGCCCCCTCAACTTTCTCAATGGTCTTTTAGGCAAAGCCAATGAAGTGGAGATGAAAAATGAGATTTTGGAGGATGTGGGGAAAAGAGAAATCTTGCAGAATACTGAGCATGAGGAACACAAAGAGGAGTCTGAGGAGGAAGTACAGACATTGCATGCTGCTGAAAATGCAAAGGCAGAACAAATGGTTGAAGAACGGGACACCCTGCCAGCAGTGATGTTACCAGAGAGTAGGTTTGCAGAGCAAGCCCAAAGCCTCCCAGAAACTGTGTCAGGGAGCACTTCTTCAAACAGTGACAGTGACACAGATGGCTTGAGAAAGGTCACAGAGTCCAGGGGCACAGCAGCCCAGCAGCCTGAGAGTGCAGAGGCTGAACACCATGACTTGAGTGCAAGGACAAATGAGAACCTGGAGCTGGGCTCTCTGCAAGGCCACCTGATTTTTGAGACTCCTCAGGAAATGTTCTGTGACTCAGGTACAGAGCAGGAGCTGGGAGAAGCTGCACCCAACCAGGAAGAACAAGAGGATCTTGAAACCAGCCATGCCCTGAGTGATGATGAAATGGATGAAGGGTCTGACAGTACAAGTGAGGGCAGTGAGTTGGTCTCTAACCAGGCAGGGCTACCTGAGGGAGCAGTGGCAGGCTTGCTTAGGGAAGAGGGAAATGTGGAGAGTTCCACTCCAGAGGAACCCCAGCACTCAGAAGAAAGTGCTGAAAACAAGGTTGCAAATGTCTTGGAGGAAAAGTTTGTTGACTGCACTGATGGAAGAAGTGATAAAACAGCAGGTGACAGAGCTGAAGAAGAAGATGAGGTTGGGAACACAGTTCAGGGTCAGCTGAGGGAAACTGAGTCAGTGGGTTTGGAGGGGACGGAGCCATGTGAAAGGGATGTCCCAGCAGAGCCACTTGGAAAGGAAGGTGGAGAACATCAGGCATTGATCCAACCAGATTCTTCAGAGGACAGTGCTTCAGCATCCCCAGAGGAACCAGGTACACAAGGTAAAACTGAAGATGAAGCTGCTACAGCTGAGAAGGATGGACAGAAGGAAGAGCTGATGGAAGAGCTGGAGAAGTGTTCAGGTTCTGCTGGAAAAGGCGAGCAAGGCGTGGTGTCTGTGGAGGCAGGAGGCTCCATTCCTGAGGGAAAGGGAGGTGAGCTGCAGCAGGCACAGCCAGGAACAGAGGTTGGGAGAGAGGTGATCACTCAGGAAACCCATTCAGACCCAAGTCTTTTAGATGATGAAATTAAGGAGTCAGAATTGGAAACAGGGGATGAGGCTGGGGAAGGACAGGAAAGTAGGACAGAATGGGTCGAAGATCTAGATCCAAAGGCAGAGGTTCAAACAAGTCAGGGTAGTGAAGAAACAGCAGAAGGTACAGAGGGAGAGAAAAATGTTCCTTTAGAGGGTGAAATGCAGGAGGTGGTTCAGCAAGTAGAAGGTCAATCTGAAGAGGAGTCAGGTGTAGGTGTTATTGTAACTACTGAAAACAAAGCCAGTGAAGAAACACTGAAAGAAAATGAGCAAGAGGTAGAGCTTGCAGACCACCCTGGTGGGGAATCTGCTTCTGAGGAAGGTGCAAATAATGCCCTGGAACAGAAACTTGTGCAGGATAAAAATATTAGTGAACAAGTTAAATTGGAAGAAGGTGCAAATAATTCCCTGCCACAGAAACCTGTGCAGGATGAAGACAGTGGTGAACAAGTTAAATTGGAGGAAGGTGCAAATAATTCCCTAGCACAGAAACCTGTGCAGGATGAAGACATTGGTGAACAAGTTAAATTGGAGGAAGGTGCAAATAATTCCCTGCCACAGAAAGCTGTGCAGGATGAAGAGATTAATGAACAGGTTAAATTGGAGGAAGGTGCAAATAATTCCCTGGCACAGAAACTTGTGCAGGATGAAAACATTAATGAACAGGTTAAATCGGAAGAAGGGGCAAATAATTCCCTGGAAGAGAAACCTGTGCAGGATGAAAACATTGGTGAACAAGTTAAATTGGAGGAAGATGCAAATAATTCCCTGGAACAGAAACATGTGCAGGATGAAAAGATTAGTGAACAAGTTAAACTGGAGGAAGGTGCAAATAATTCCCTGGAACAGAAAGCTGTGCAGGATGAAGAGATTAATGAACAGGTTAAATTGGAGGAAGGTGCAAATAATTCCCTGCCACAGAAAGCTGTGCAGGATGAAAAGATTAGTGAACAAGTGAAATTGGAGGGAAGTGCAAATAATTCCCTGGAACAGAAACTTGTGCAGGATGAAAACATTAGTGAACAGGTTAAATTGGAGGAAGGGGCAAATAATTCCCTGGAAGAGAAACCTGTGCAGGATGAAAACATTGGTGAACAAGTTAAATTGGAGGAAGATGCAAATAATTCCCTGGCACAGAAACTTGTGCAGGATGAAAACATTAATGAACAGGTTAAATCGGAGGAAGGGGCAAATAATTCCCTGGAAGAGAAACCTGTGCAGGATGAAAACATTGGTGAACAAGTTAAATTGGAGGAAGATGCAAATAATTCCCTGCCACAGAAAGCTGTGCAGGATGAAAAGATTAGTGAACAAGTTAAACTGGAGGAAGGTGCAAATAATTCCCTGCCACAGAAAGCTGTGCAGGATGAAGAGATTAATGAACAGGTTAAATTGGAGGAAGATGCAAATAATTCCCTGGAACAGAAAGCTGTGCAGGATGAAGAGATTAATGAACAGGTTAAATTGGAGGAAGGTGCAAATAATTCCCTGCCACAGAAAGCTGTGCAGGATGACATTAGTGAACAAGTGAAATTGGAGGACCAAGCAGAGGAAAGCCTGGAAGATGATGGTGATGCATTTGATTTTGATGAAGAGTCAAATCAAATACTAGAATCTGATGAAAAATGTGATGAAGAGAAAGGTGATGCACATGCAGAAGAGGGTCATGGAGCAAATGGTGCTGTTGGAAAAACTGCCCACACAGACAAAGCTGGAGAGGGAAGAGACAAAATGGAAACCAAAGATGCCTTGACCAAAGGTGAAGTCCTGCAGCATAAGAAAGATGAGCCTGAAGAAACAGGGTGCTTGCAAGGGCAAGCACTGGGGAAAGCTGATGAGGAGGCAGATGAAATCAAAGTATCAGATTCTAGTAGAGTGGGAAAATTCCAGGATCGAGATGTTTTGGAACAGGATTTGGAAAGAGCTTTCATTAAGAGGGCTGAAAGCAGGGAGGATTTGCAGGTTGGTAAAAGGAGCAAGGGCAGATCCAGAGAAGACTGTACAATCTCCTGAGTTCAGAATCTCAAACCTGCACGAGTTCCATGCCCTGTGAGCAGTCCCAGGACACAAACATGCACTTTGCACAAGACATCAGACCTTGGAATACTCTTAGAGCTTTGTCTTTGTAGGTAACTCAGCATAAAGCACGGATGTGGTAATAATGCAAGTTTTAAGTTATTCACTGTTGTACCCACCACAAGAAATTGTGAGTGGGTTTGGTTTTGCTGTGTCTCAGGCTGAAAGCTTATCACCTGATGAGGAAGCTTCACAACTTGACTATTGAAACTATTATGCAATTAAAGTACCTCTAGTGTGGATAGCTGCTCCTGGGGAATTTCTATAGGAATTTATTTTTTTTTTATTCTAGCCTAGTTGATCAATATCTTGAATGTACATTAGGCCTTTGTGAACTTATGCACATTATGCTTACTTGTACTTAGATCTACAGCAAGTACATGCACTCTTCATGAAGGAACTCAGCAGATCAGCCATCACTGATGGTGAAACTTCTTTCAGAATGCTTAAAGCCTATGAACCAATCTCTTATTTTTTTTTAATATGAAGAAAAAAGATCTTCTCATTCCACTTTGTGTGTATTTCTTATATGGTCACATTCCAAAATATAGTTAGATCACTGTGAATCTGCGTAGTCTGAGCACTTTGGAAGAGCAATACACAGTTTGGAGAAAGTGCAAGATGCAGGTCTTAGTTTGCTGAAAGGAATAAATATCTACATGTTTACTTCATTTAGGCACTTTGCACCACAATAGGCCTTTTACACCATGTCTCACATGGGGTTTTTATTTTTTTCCAGAGAAAGTGTCAATACACACTGTAATGTGTGCTTAGGTTTGCTATCAAGTACTGTCTAGATATGAATATATAAAATGTCTATTTTTCCAAGAAGATTTTTGTTTAAAATTGCATTTGCTTACTGCATTATATTTTTTTTTGCAAACTCTGATTCTGAAAGAATGTTTTTTATCTCTGAAACAAATCTTATCTCTTTCCTTCTGGAAAGAAGATAACTTTGCATGTCTTAACTCTTGCTGGATATCAGACCAAAGATGACTGTTGTTTTGTGTACTAGCCCCCCTGTGCCTTTTGGAAAAGCTGGATTGCTTTGAATTGCTGGCATAAATTAGGCTCTTGGACTCCCTTGCTGTATTTCCTCTTGCATGTCTGCTAGTGCTTGGGAGGAAGAGCATGTTTTGCATATATAAATATTCATTTAAAGTGTAAAGCAATGAATGTCCCAAGGGAATGCAGATCGAGGGGGGTGTGGGCTATGGAAGGCTGTATTTGTGTTGATGTTACAAAGTTGTCAGAGCACAGACAGACTGCAAAATTTGAAGATGTATATCCAAATGTACTGCTGTATATAATTTAAATAAACATATTTTATACTTTAAAGTACCTGTCCAGAGCACTGTTTCTAAACCTGCACAAGGAGTTATTTAAACCTGTGTCATTTCAACACCATTTTTCTGCAGCTTTTGTTCAATTTATTGCCTTGTGCCACGTAGCTACAGATGAGCCATCTCCCTAGGACTGGGCAGCCTCGGGGTTTGAGCACCTTGAATATGTGATGGCACCTTAACTGTAGAGCTCTAACAGGTCTGTAACCCTGTAACTCCTTTCATGTGGCTTCTCTCCAACTTACAGCAGATCCACCGTGGTTTCTGTAAGTATTGGCAGTTGTTCCTAAGGGTTTACACTAGATGCTAATCCAAAAAGTCATAGATCTTATAAGCATTTCTTATTAGCACGTAGCAGTGTTTATTTAAAGATTTAGCTCTGAGTAGTTCATATAATATTCTAAATAGTTCGTTGAATAATAAATAAATTCAATGAAAAGCAGTGTTTATTTAAAGATTTGGCTCTGCCATACTCTCAACAGTAATATATGGTTTAATGTTGGAAGTGGGTTTTAATTGTTAAATAGATTTCAACAGATCATTAAATGTTCTTACCTGGCTTCACCTGTACTGTGGATGGATCTATCAGAGTTAAATTAGGCATTATATCCTGTATTTCTTATGAGTGCATTTCTGATTTTAACTAGTTTTTCCACTTCAGAAAACACAGCATCTTTAAGAGAATTCCTTTTTAAAGCCAAGTCCAGGAGCAGAAACACCTCCAGTCTTACCTGTCCAAGTACCAGCTTTGATCCCACTCCCAGTGTAACTGGGAGCAAGAACATGGAGAGGCAGTGCAGAGTAGCTGCTGTGCCAGAAATCCATCCTGGAATGTTGAAAATGAGTGTGTGACACAAGTATGAAACTTTTGTCTTAGTAACAGAATAACCCCAAATGCTCACTGGGTTTTCTGGTCATCACCTAGTGGCACATAAATGCTGTAGCCCAGCATTTGTGCATATCAGAGCTAGCCTGAGATGCTTTCAAAAGCAATATCTCAAGAAACTTACTTGATAAAAAAAGGAGAATAAATAGTGAAAAGGTCTTGGTCAATATCTTCTTTACTATAGAGAACATCAGTCCTCCTGTCCCCCTCAAAATCAGTACTGCAAGCCAGTGTCTTCCAAATCCTGTGCTGTCCCTGGCAGTGCCCCTCTTCTGAGAAAGACAGGGAAGCATTTTCTCATCTTCCAAAATAAACTGACAGATCTGGAGAAGGAGTGTGGTGGTGTTCACAGGGGTCCCAGGACGAGAGAAGAGACGAAAATCTTGACTCCATATTTCAGAAGGCTGATTTATTATTTTATGATATATATTATATTAAAAGAAAATTATATACTGAAAGAATAGAAGAAAGGATTTCATCAGAAGGCTAGCAAGGAATGGAAAGGAATGGAATGATAATAAAATCTTGTGACTGACCACAGAGTCCGAGCCAGGTCACTGTGATTGGGCACTAATTAGAAACAACTACATGAGACCAATCAAAGATGCAGCTGTTGTGTTCCACAGCAGCAGATAATCATTGTTTACATTTCATTTCTGAGGCCCCTCAGCTTCTCAGGAGGAAAATCCTAGCAAAAGGATTTTTCATAAAACATGTCTGTGACAAGGGAGTATTGCCCAAGCTGCTCTGAGAGCTGGATTCTTGCAGGCTGTTCTGAATAGCTGCTTGGGGCTGGGATTCCATGGGATGTCTTTCCCCCCTCCAGGAGCAGTTTACCCCTTCCATTTACATCAGGGTTTGTTACTTCCTGGGCCACACATCATGTAGATCCTGCAGGTAAAACCAGCTGCTTCCCATCCCATGCTCCCCTCCAAGTGGAAGCAGACATGGAGGATCTGTGGCTGATTTGGGAATGTTTGGAGCAGCAGCTGAGCAAGCAATGCCCCGAGTCACCTGCAGTGCCAAGGCAATGAGAGCAGTCACTGGATGTAGAAAGTGTGGCAGAAGACACTGGTCAGCACCATGCTCACCCCTCTGTGTCCTGCTCCCTCACAGGCCCCATCTCCTCCTCAGCCCTCTGTTAAACTCTGGTGTGGGAAGGCCATGAACTGGTGCAGTGAGTACCCTGGGAATCACCTTTCCAGAATTAACTGAGGTGAATGTCACACTCTCATTATTCACTGTAGTGTCTTTCTATGTGGAATAAGGATAATGACTGTTACAGATGAGAATTTTAATTAGCTGCTTCCTGTCCTGATTCAATAAGCTGTTCTTTCCTGCTCATCTGTTCTCAAGGTCCTCAGATTTGTTGGAAAAATATCTCCTAAATGCAAAATTAAGGTGACCCTGCAGAGCAAGTTTCTGTGTTAATGTGGGGGTTTAAGATAAGTGAAACCCAAGAGACCCTCATGTCTACAGGCAGAAAACTTTTTTTCTGTGTAAATGGCAATTTTAGCAAACTCATTTTTTTCCCTGACCTGGTAAGCCCTGCTGTCTGCATGTCCCCAGTGGGGTGCACAGATGTCCATAATGAGGGCAGCAAGAACTGGAGGTGAGACCAAACTTGAAGGTTCACCCCAAAATTCATCCTTTTTGCAGGAAAAGGGCTTTGGGGAAGCCAGTGTGCTTCCTCAGTGGAAGCTGGCAGAGGTGTCCTTTCTTCAAGCAGGCAGGTTTCACCCCACAGCAGGGGTTGTGTTAATGAAAGTCACAATTACATTGTTTTCAGGATCAAAATGTGTTACTTGGCCCTTTTGGAGTCAGTAACTTCGGGCTAATTTTGTAGTGGCCTAAAGGTTTCCTGCTGCACCAGTCCTCATTCTCTTTCCAGTCCTTGGAACTCCATTTCTCAGTCTTTGCTGGCCTGTAAATCCCAACACAATCTCTTGAGGCCAAGTTTCTCCAACTTGTTTGCTGTTCTTGCTTTCTTCGTTGACCTTTACTCTTCTGCCATATCTTTCATCTTTTGCAGAATTTCCGTCTTAAGTTTTCTTTCCTTCTCATATAGATCTGTGAAATTGTTTTATCATTTTAAAGGGGTTTATACTGGGAAATTTTGTTTGTGGGTGGTATTTACAAAAGAATTTGGGTTTTTTTTTTTTGTTTTTTCATATCAGTGCTCAGGTGTAGCAATGTTGGGTGTGTTACAAATGAATGGAAAAAAAAAAAAAGAATAGGACTTCGGGAGGTTCAAAATTAATCCATAGATCTGCTGAACTGGGATGTCATGCTAAGATCTGTATTTGAGTGTTGCATCAAAACCCAAGGTAAAGATTTTATTCCATGCTCTGGAATGGGACTGTGTGTGGGTGTGTATTCCCAGCAGGGGAATGACATACCACATTAATAGACTCCATTAATAGACAATGTATCTGCTGTACAGAGGGACTTCCAGTGGGAGAACAGTTTTCACCATGATTTGATTCAATACAGACTCTTGATTCCCTTTAAGTGCATGTGCTAACAAGAAAAAAGGGAGAACCACAAGACTTTGGCCTGTTTAGGAGTTGTCAACAAAGAAGAAATGGTATTTTAAAGCTGTTAAAAAATATTTAAGTCTGTCTATCAACAGAATTTACCTGGTAAAAGCCCACCAGGCTCTTATGTGTAATTTATCTTGCTTTCCTAAAGTTTGCAAAAAGATCTTTTCTTGAGTGACCTATGGATTTTAACCATTTAATCAGCAGGCCAGACCTCAGCTGTGGAGTTGAGCTCTGAACAGCCTGAGCTCTGCACTGCTGGCAAGGGAGGCCAGTTGAACAAACCTGCAGTGAGACCCAGCTGAGGTCAACAGATCCTCTCCTAATGAGTGCATTTCCATGTGGTGTTGCAGTGCACTCCTGCCTGAGGTGTACCTGAACAAACTGAGCTTGTTAATTAATCATTTAGGTCATTTGGGTGGTAAGAAAATGTGCTTTCACATTTTGCAGCCCTTAATGGGGAAGGAAAAAAAAAGTGATTTGTTTGCTTACTTTGTAGTTCTTTTTTCCAGCTGTCTCATTCTGTAGAGTGCACTTTATAAATGAAGGCTGCACATACCCATGTGCTGATCTGTAGCACTTCCAAGTTCAAATGTAGCACAACAGTTGGTGCAGGTTGTCCATTGCCTCTTGATGTTTGACCTGGAGAATTGACTCTGAAGATAAAACAGAGTTTTACCAGACTGCTGCGTTCGAAACACAAATCATTTGATGAGCAAATGTTTTTTTCTGGTCATAATATTGGAGCTAAAATGTCACTGCCATGTAAAAAGAAGGGAAGAGTTAAAGTGCTGAGAATGTGATTATAGGTGTTTACAGTATTGTCATTGTGTTAAACTGTCAAGACCTGTGAGATTTTGTGTTGCAGTTGTGCTTGACCCTAGAGTTCTTGCATGCTAACCTAACGTAGAAGATTAGCCTCTTTGCATGCAGCTGGCTGCTGCTACTGCTGGGACAAGCATGTTCTGTGAGAATGCCATAAGTGCCCTGGCTGCAGCCCCCTGCCAGCCCCGCTGGGCCTCGTGTCCTGTGGTACGTGCCCTAACTCCCCATCAGTAGTCACTAACCTGAGCGGGCCAGCCTCGTGTCTCAGATGCGCTCCCCGATGCGCCCTGCCTCGGTCAGCACTGAACTCTCCCTTTTCTCTTCCAGACAGGATGAAAAAACTCATTGATGAACGGGAGTCCTTGCTAGACCAGGTAATCACAGGGCAAGGGAAGGATTAAGAAAACAAAAATAGGCCAAACACAAGGTGTAGATCAGCAGCACTGTGGTCTGGTTCCTCTTGCTGCCTTGCTGGCCACTCTGTTTTTCCTCTAAAACATTCCTTCCATGTGTTAACTCAGGATACATGGAAGATATGACCCTCTTATTTCTGAATAATAGTCCTTCTCAATAATAGTCCTTCAAATAATCCTTGGAGTCCTTGGCCAAGCCCAAGGGGAAAACAGGCATGGTTCAGAAATTGTAGAAGCAAATTTTCTCTGCAAGAGTAAGACCCTTGCTGGGTCTGTGGGTAAATGGGCCTTTTGGAAAGGTTTGTTGGAGGAGTTGCAGATGGGTAAAGAG